TAGCAAACCCTTGAATCTGATTTTTTAAGGAGACTGTATTTACTACTCTATCAGATGAATCTTCTGACCACAACTCCTTGATGACTTCTGCAAACGCTTTGATTAAAGTGCCCTCCATACTAGAAATACTAGTAAATATTGATATCTTTCATGAATTCATCTTTTTTCAAATATTCCAATAACCATCTCGTATTTGATAAACATTGAATTACGCTGTTCATGAAACANAAAGAGTTTGAACTCAAGACTAGCATATTCAAAATTTCAAAATTTTTTTTAACATTAAAAACGACAGGTCACTGATTAATAACATAGTTTCTTTTTGAAAACTACTTTGAATTCACGTAATAACTCATCGAAGTGAACTTAAAAGATTGCATTTTTATACCTGTATAAAGTTATACATCACTATGTTTGTCATATTGTGAGAGGTAAAAATCCCCAAAAAGGTTGATAAAGAACTACTCGTGTATATCAATGTTCTGAAACGCGTTTCAATTTGTTTGTCGGAAGCGTGAAAGGCCTGTTGACGACCTTCTTCACTTCTCACGTTTTGAAAATTTGGATTATTAGATGTCGGAATATATAGCTTCTGAACATATTTGTTGGTATTGATTGATTTAATGATGCACCTTAATTTGAAGTTAAAATGTGAAATTGCCAGACCATTAATTGAAGAATTGCAAGTTACTTCACAAATTCTGGGTTGCTGATGTTATGATAACTTTCAGACATGAGCGATGTTGAAAGTTGTATTTAAATACACTGAAACATAGTTCAAATGACCAAAATAGGGTACCAATGGACAAACATATTGTACACGTACAAAGCCGTTGGTTCACATTGTAAATAATTTTTTGTAGTGGTGTATTTTACCGCCTTGTATTCTGTAAATTAAAAATTGCAATACACTACGGCAATGTATAGAATTAANGGATGAGGGGGTGGCTTTTCCAGTAAGTTTAAATAAGCCATAATGCTTGGCCCTTCCAACATAAATTGACGTGTTTTTGGATTTTTCCCAAATACCAGTATTACAAAAGTTATTAAGGTGGATACTTTTATCTGAAAAGCACTGTATTTTATTTTATGCTAGCGACTCGCCCGGTTTGCACAAAACATGGTAGTGATGATAGGTTTATAATGATAATGATAATAAAATTATTTTAGTCTTCATTTCATCAATAGAAGGCGAGATTGAGCCTATGACTACTCTTACATCTAACCTTGCAATGATTTGCCTTTAACGAAAGTAAAATAAGCCGATAGTTGGAAAAATAAACTTGAAACACGATAACACGAAACACGATGCAAAGTAATAAACAATATTCACGGTGGCGAACTCATATGTTCCCTCATATATTTCTTGAAGGTGCCTAAAATAATTGTCTTGACATGAGATGGAATCGAATTGAATAATTTAATGACTTTGGAAGTAAGCCCGTTGAAACATGGCTGTCGTGTGATGCGGCATCGTGAAATTATCTTTCTACCTGCCATTCACACCATGAGTTTCAAATTTCGAAAGGAATCTATTTTCATTTCTACAATAGCTCATTGATAATAGGCCACTATAATATATTTTTTGATCAGGGCCGGCACCCGTCCGCCCACTTCCCAGGAAATCGGTACTTCCCGGATGCTTTCATTTTGAGAATGCAATTAATCATCACCATATAGCAGCGACAGCGGCTGACAACTGACAGCTGACAGCTGACAGCTATTTGACAGTTGATTAGTTGACATTTTCATTCTTGGAAGTTGGCATGGTTTTTGTTCGCAATTATTATAATACACTATGGAAAGCAGCAGCGATAGTGAGTTTGAAAATGTGCCTTTCGAAATTTGCAATGCAATAGCTGCTGCTACTTCACAATTAGTGTCTGAATTATTATGAATTGTTCTCGAAAATGATGGATAATAAGAAATGCAAAACTATTACAGCTGATGTAATTTTGGTTTATTTGGCGCATAACTTTGGAACTGTTAAATCCTCTACCTCATGGTCCATAATATATTGCATCGCAGGCCTTGCACTCAATTTCGTAAATTCCAGACTTTTATGAATTCTTGACTTTGTCCTATGTATTCCCTAGAAGGCTCTGTAGCGTATGACTTGTTTCAAATACCACCTTCACATCTAGTTCCTTGAAAATCTTTCCAAAGTTCTTCATATATTGGTGATATGGAACTGAGAACTGAAAAGACGAAAACCAAGACAAGTATATCTCAGTTTTCAAGGAACTAGGTATGAAGGTGGTATTTTGAACAAGTCATAAACTACAGAGCCTTCTGGGAAATCCGAAGAACAGAGTCGAATTAAGGAAATTAAATGTAAGGACTGTGATGCAAAATATTATGGGCAGACTAAAATATAACTGTTTGGTATTGGGATTAAACTCCAGTAACATTTAGTTTCTTTGGTGATTATTATTGTTTTACTCCATTCTATAGGGTGACCACCAGACGATTTTAGAATATATTCCGCTAACCACGATCCTACCATCTGTCTTCGCCTAATATATTAACGTGTTCATTTCTTCCCAAATCTAGGGGTCTTGAGGTTTCACCTATATAACTTTCCCTAAAGGAACGAGGTATATTGTGAATATAATATTTCGTTCTTTCAACCGCATTTGTGTCAAAAGATCTCAGTGTGTTGGTGGTTCTAAAAGTTATTCTTACATTATACTTATAACAGGAACATAAGGTATTATTTTTGGGTTTGTAGTGATTCTGAGAACTGTATATGTTGTATATAGCTTTTATTAACTTCATTAAGAGCAGTAGCGTAGCCAGAATTTTCGTTCGAGGGGTTCCAACACCAGGGGGGTCCGAAAAAGTTTTCGAAAAACAGGGTACTAAATAGAAGGTTTCAAACTAATTTCAACACTTTTCATAATCGAAAAAACTCCATATTTCAAAGAAATCTTTTTGAAAATCATGATTATTCAATATGTTTATATATTTTTATGAAGAATCAAAGTATTTGTGGTTTATTCAAATAAACATAAATATAGTGTGGTAATCCCTCCAGAGCTTCAAACTTTTTCAAATAGATGAATAAGGCTAGAGAAACAACAGTGTAGAGCAATAGTTGAAATATATTCATGACGTTCAACATTACATAAATTGATTTAACAAAATAAAGTTCTAAGTTACAGCACTAATCTCCTATTTCCACTTCTAACCATTTCATCGATTACTTCGTCACTGTTGATCGGATCTGAATAATGAATTGACAGTAGAGCAAGACCAATTAATTCCTTAGATAGCTTTTAACACCGCCATTACACTACCCAAGCGGCCGAGCTCAAACGTATCGTTTGATAATTTATGATTTAAACAAATGGACAAACCAACAATGGTATGATAATTCAGACAAGAGTAATGATAACTTTTTTTTCTTTCATCAGGTCCATGCTTAATTTATTTTTTTAAATGTCTTAAAATTTCGAGGGGAGGAGTCGTTCGGACCACCCCTTTGCTACACTACTGATTAAGAGCTCTTCCCACGAATTGCTCCAGGATATGCGTTTTGCTTCAAAACTGTTTTAAGGATAGTTCTTTCGTCTATCATATTATGAAGTGAATTGCAAACTGTCTTTGCCCTATCATACAAAAATCCAACTGTAACTCTTTTTTGAAGCTAGAGTGATGATTAGATTTACAGAGGAGACATCTATTTTTATGAGTTTTCTTTCGATACAACCTCGTATCAAGAGTATTCAATGATTTTTTTATCATAGCATCGAGAAAACGGAGTTGCTTACGAACTTCCCTTTCTAATGTACAACAAAGGAGTCTTATACTCAACACGTCCGGAAACAGTTTTTTTGGACCAGTTTCGTTACCCACTCAGAAAAATAGTAAATTCCAGACTTATTACGTAAATGATACCATTCTACTTCAGAAAACTGATAACCAATATGTAAATGTACTCTCTTAGACCTGTCTACCGCGGAACCCCATTCTTGCTCCTTGGATAGGATCATCAATACATAGAATTTAAAACTAAGCTCACTCATTACCCTCATACGCCGTATCCCTAATCGAATGATAACAGAACTATTTTTAACTTGAAGGAGTGCCGTAACAATGTCCTCATTAAATATGAAACATGGAGGTGAAGAACTGTACGAATGGTTTGTCCCGACTTGGAAAAGAGTTATTTATAGTAGCACACGAAACGCTGTTGCTTTCGCTTGTTCAACACGGCACCACAGTGGCACGCAAGCAATTGGAATTATACCCACATTTACATATTTCTTTCTTTCTCGGAATTGATACGTTTGATTTGTCGAGCGTGTCCATGGATGAAATTCATTATGGAACTTTTTGTAAAAAACCATCCCGACTGTGTTTTTCGAACTCCCTTGGGTTTTTAACCTTTTGCAGACTGGAAAATGAATACTACCTGAGCTGAAAATTCTCGGGACTAACACATAGATGGCGCTAGTTTTATTACATTCACCGCTTTCTCAGTTAGTACTAACCTTCAAAAGAAAGCTGTTGAAATTCCATAATATTTTACTCATAAGCGCTGAAATTGACACTACTTTTGTTATTTTCGAAGCAATAGATCAAAAACAATTTCGTGTTTTAATTTCACACTGTTTCTTGACGGGAAAAATACTGTTCAAGCGAATCCATGGCTTGAAAAGTGTTAAGTATAAGGACTCCTCTCCATCAGAAACAACAATTGAACATTGGTTTGCCGACTTTGAACGTGGTAGTAGAGTAGGGTGACTAAACGTTCCGGAAAACCGGGATTGTCCCGGTTTTCAACCAAGCCGTAAAGTGTCCCGAAAAATTGTCTCGGGGTGCACAAAAGTCCCTGAAGTCGATTTTGAAAGGAGTTGGCAACACCGACTAAGAGTGCATCCATTGTCTGCTTGTCACACCACTAGATCACTAGCAGAGACTCTGTCACTAGTAACTATTTTAGTCTTGCGTCTTGCGTAATTAGTTGAGGTTATGTCAGTGTTAGCGCAATAAAGTGTCAAGTCAAGTTGATGTTAGTAATTCTTATATCGGCTTCTCTTATCATTTAATACGTCATGGACTGATGAAAGAAATGGAATGGAAGTGGAGACGCTTGAAGCAATCCTGCAGATCCTGTACAACTACAAAATAGACTGTATGAAATTTTACAGTTATGTGTTGAAGAACAAAGACATGATCAAGAAGGCTAGAAGTAGTGAAAAATACTCTTCAAGGTCAATCAACCCCATCTACAAGCATTGTGCAGTAACAATTCATAATTAAATGTGAGTTGAATTTAAAATCAATTGACAATAATTATTAGAAAACAAAGAACAAAGTTTGTTTAATTTTGAATTGATCAATTTTATACTTTTTGATAGTATTAATAAAGTTGATATAATATAGAAAAATTATATACATATGGAGTGCGAGATAAGACACTAGATAAGAACTATTTAGCAACTAGATTACAAAGAGTTAAAATTGATGATCAGTTGAGTATCTCCAA